AGGGCGGGTCCGGTGCAGCACCGGGCAGGTGACCCTCCTGTCCGGCTGTTAGAGACGCCCCGAGCGGCTGCTGCCCATAACACAACAAAACGCCCAACGTCATTTTGTACCTGAAAAAGAGGAAATAAGTCCTTGCACCATAAAATACCCAGTGAGCGTTAGTTGGTGTTTTTTGGTGCTAGTGTAAATGATGTCTTTAAGATTTTCATTTTCTTTGTGTCTTTCTGGTATAGAGATATTTTTTATATGTTGGTCTTGTATCCAATAATCTTGCCCAAGTATTCATTACTTCTGGTAATTTTCCCCTTGGCTTCCTGTATACACAATCATGACGTTTGTTAATATAAGGACAGTCCAGCTCAAGGGGCAATAAAGTTTGCCAGGTTTTGCAACCATCAGTTTAAAAAGTAAAAGAGAAACCAACAGATAAAAAGTGAACGAATTTGATGTTAAGATTTCATCTAAGGTGGAAAAAAAGTTGAAGACTTTTTAAATAACGCCTATCACTGTGTATTATAGACTGTCCTTAAATTTTTATGAGTTGCTAAAATCACTTGTTATTCTATGTTTTGTTTTATAGTTTCCCATCACCAATTGTTCTTGGAATTGGACAGGTAAGTGGAAAAAAAGTCAACCTCTTAATTAGTCAGTACACGCGGTGCAGTTTTCAGTGCTTTTGTTTGAGACTGTGGTTTACAAATATATCCATCTGATCATGGTACTTTCGGTGAAGCAATATGAAATAACACATATCTTATGTCATTCTAGAATTTAGGAACAGTGTATCTGTAGGAAAAACAAGTACTGATTTTAATTTCCTTAATGGAATTTAATTACTTTAAAACAAGGGGCGAGAAGACTGCAGTCTCCAAGGTCTGTCTGGCGGGTAACAAAGGAATGGCTGGGGCGGGGGGTGGTACGGGGAACATAGTTACCATTGAGATGTGCACCTGCTACTCGGTTGAAGCCGCTGTGCCAGAGAGGAAAAGGGTGGGGAGACGAGTACGGCCCACGAGGCCCTGATTATCAGAACTCCAGAGTTTTTTCAAGAGAAGCAGGGTGTTTGAGTTTTTATGTCAGACCTCCCATTGGTAAATGCCAGCAATGGATTCCAATTTCACAAGACTCTCGATGGGCCAAACAGAACATGTTTGCTTCCTGTGGTTTGTGATTTTTGTTCTCGGGTATGAAGTTGACCTGGAAAATCTTTCGGACTAACCTGCTTGGCTGTTTCTGAAATTTCCCATTAATATTAATTTGTGGATTGTTTATTCTTTTGGTCATAGGCTGGTGATTTCCATAGACAAGTGGTAACAGGCATCAGAGGTTTTATTTGTCCTGCTTTGCTTTAATTTATAGGGAGAAAAAATTAAAATTATGGAAATTATCTCTTGTTAACTGTGTAATTGTGAATCTGGAAAAGCTGTCATTTATATGATTAAACATTGTTCTGGTTACATGTTTTGCTAATAAGGTACTCTTTGAAACATCATGTTAGGGGGAAAAAAACAAACAAACAATATATTTTCTTAAGGTGAAAAAATATGTCATCTTTATGTTTCATTGTGACAATGTGTACAGAAAAGCATATAAAAGATTAGTGATAAGCTGTCCTTTGTAATCCCTGAGGCAAATAAAATCACTGCTGTACTCAAGGTAAATAAAGGCTTTTTGATTTTTAATCTGTTGGGGGAGGAGGCCAGCAGACCTATTTTTAAAAGTCTGAATTACAGAATATTTTAAATAAGTGTTAGTATATTTCTGTAAGAATTATAAAGTAACTCATAAATACAAACCACAGTTATAATTCAACATGGGTTCCAGTTATATGAATCTATCGTAAGTATTAAGTTTGTAAACTTATTGGGATCAAGGTTTAGGATTATGATCATGTTGAAGGAGTCTTTAAATTTTTGCATCCTAGTCCTACCTGGTTTTGCTCAGTGGATAGAGCACGGGCCTGCATACTGAAGCATTACAGGTTCGATTCTGGTCAAGGGCACATGTCCGGGTTTCGGGCCCAATCCCCAGTAGGGGCTGTGCAGGAGGCAGCCGACCAATGATTCTCTCTTATCCTACCTGAAAAAGAGGAAATAAGTCCTTGCACCATAAAATACCCAGTGAGCGTTAGTTGGTGTTTTTTGGTGCTAGTGTAAATGATGTCTTTAAGATTTTCATTTTCTTTGTGTCTTTCTGGTATAGAGATATTTTTTATATGTTGGTCTTGTATCCAATAATCTTGCCCAAGTATTCATTACTTCTGGTAATTTTCCCCTTGGCTTCCTGTATACACAATCATGACGTTTGTTAATATAAGGACAGTCCAGCTCAAGGGGCAATAAAGTTTGCCAGGTTTTGCAACCATCAGTTTAAAAAGTAAAAGAGAAACCAACAGATAAAAAGTGAACGAATTTGATGTTAAGATTTCATCTAAGGTGGAAAAAAAGTTGAAGACTTTTTAAATAACGCCTATCACTGTGTATTATAGACTGTCCTTAAATTTTTATGAGTTGCTAAAATCACTTGTTATTCTATGTTTTGTTTTATAGTTTCCCATCACCAATTGTTCTTGGAATTGGACAGGTAAGTGGAAAAAAAGTCAACCTCTTAATTAGTCAGTACACGCGGTGCAGTTTTCAGTGCTTTTGTTTGAGACTGTGGTTTACAAATATATCCATCTGATCATGGTACTTTCGGTGAAGCAATATGAAATAACACATATCTTATGTCATTCTAGAATTTAGGAACAGTGTATCTGTAGGAAAAACAAGTACTGATTTTAATTTCCTTAATGGAATTTAATTACTTTAAAACAAGGGGCGAGAAGACTGCAGTCTCCAAGGTCTGTCTGGCGGGTAACAAAGGAATGGCTGGGGCGGGGGGTGGTACGGGGAACATAGTTACCATTGAGATGTGCACCTGCTACTCGGTTGAAGCCGCTGTGCCAGAGAGGAAAAGGGTGGGGAGACGAGTACGGCCCACGAGGCCCTGATTATCAGAACTCCAGAGTTTTTTCAAGAGAAGCAGGGTGTTTGAGTTTTTATGTCAGACCTCCCATTGGTAAATGCCAGCAATGGATTCCAATTTCACAAGACTCTCGATGGGCCAAACAGAACATGTTTGCTTCCTGTGGTTTGTGATTTTTGTTCTCGGGTATGAAGTTGACCTGGAAAATCTTTCGGACTAACCTGCTTGGCTGTTTCTGAAATTTCCCATTAATATTAATTTGTGGATTGTTTATTCTTTTGGTCATAGGCTGGTGATTTCCATAGACAAGTGGTAACAGGCATCAGAGGTTTTATTTGTCCTGCTTTGCTTTAATTTATAGGGAGAAAAAATTAAAATTATGGAAATTATCTCTTGTTAACTGTGTAATTGTGAATCTGGAAAAGCTGTCATTTATATGATTAAACATTGTTCTGGTTACATGTTTTGCTAATAAGGTACTCTTTGAAACATCATGTTAGGGGGAAAAAAACAAACAAACAATATATTTTCTTAAGGTGAAAAATGTTGTCATCTTTATGTTTCATTGTGACAATGTGTACAGAAAAGCATATAAAAGATTAGTGATAAGCTGTCCTTTGTAATCCCTGAGGCAAATAAAATCACTGCTGTACTCAAGGTAAATAAAGGCTTTTTGATTTTTAATCTGTTGGGGGAGGAGGCCAGCAGACCTATTTTTAAAAGTCTGAATTACAGAATATTTTAAATAAGTGTTAGTATATTTCTGTAAGAATTATAAAGTAACTCATAAATACAAACCACAGTTATAATTCAACATGGGTTCCAGTTATATGAATCTATCGTAAGTATTAAGTTTGTAAACTTATTGGGATCAAGGTTTAGGATTATGATCATGTTGAAGGAGTCTTTAAATTTTTGCATCCTAGTCCTAGCTGGTTTTGCTCAGTGGATAGAGCACGGGCCTGCATACTGAAGCATTACAGGTTCGATTCTGGTCAAGGGCACATGTCCGGGTTTCGGGCCCAATCCCCAGTAGGGGCTGTGCAGGAGGCAGCCGACCAATGATTCTCTCTTATCCATTTTTAAAAAAATATTTGTATTGATTTCAGAGATGAAGGGAGAGGGAGAGAAATATAGAAACATCAATGATGAGAGAGAATCACTGCCTCCTGTCCCCCATTGGGAATCAAGCCTGCAACTCAGGCATGTGCCCTTGACTGGAATCGAACCTATGATGCTTCAGTCTGCAGGCTGGTGCTCTATCCACTGAGCAAACCAGATATGGCAGCTATATTGCTTTTTGATGAATCTGTTTTCTTCTGATGTCTTTGTACCTCAAACAGTCCACATATTTTGCTGAAGTTTCTTTCCCCCCCTTTTTTAGATGGCGGCTACCATAATGATACTGTATGTGTCCAAGCTAAATAAAATAATTCACTTCCCTGATTTTGACAAGAAAATTCCTGTAAAGGTATGTGAGTAAAAGGACATATAGCTCTGATGGAAGATGTGAAAATATTACATAATTGCTGTGACCTTTGCAGTGGGGTTCAGGATCTGAAGGAGGGACTGACGCACAAATGAAAATACTATACACGAAATATGAATTTAAAAGGCATTGGGGGCCAGGTGGAGCCTCTTTCTTGAAGAGACATACCGAGACTCAGTCCCGTCTGCTTTTTATTCAATTTTAGATACACATCTTGCCCTCCAGCAATGCATAGGGGCATATCAAAGGTAAAGTTTGGTAAACAGTAAAAGGATTATCAGGTTAGGGAATTGCCTTGAGCCACCACTATCTCAACACGAACAATCGAACAATTGGTGCTTAGCATTAGCCCTGCTAACGCTCAAGGTCCATCGGCCTTCCGCGTTCCTTGGTGCACTCTCATGACAATATTGGCAAGTGGTGGCTACCCGCATCTCCCCTTTTTTGTTTTCTTAATAAATCTTGAAAGGTATATGCCATCTGCAGGGCTCGAGTCCTTTTAAGACTCTTCATTCCGCATCTGCAGACTAGAATTAAACACATAAGAACAAGAATGAGACAGACAATAGTGGTTATGCTAAGAGGCAGATGTAAAGAGATCCAGTGAAAGGGATTAAATTCTTTCATGTCCTTTTTAAATTGCTGCCAGGCATCTAAGGAACTAGTTTGTAGTAGGCTCCTTTCTTGGCCATCAGTTCTTTATGGGTCCCCTTCTCAATCACTGTCCCCTGTGACATGACAGCAATGATATTTGAGTTTTTGATAGTGGACAAATCGTGGGCAATGACAATGCAGGTCCATCCTTCTCTGGCTTTGTCCAGGGCAACCTGCACCTTTGCACAACTGATGACTGCTAGCATGGCAAGGAAAATATTCTCAGGTGTTCTCAGGGTTCTTGTTTCCTCACAAACTTGCTGAGCTTTCTGGACTGTCTTCTTTATCATCCCCCAGGTCATCTGCGGACTGTTTGTCCTCTGTCTCGTTCTCCTTCCATTCCTTATCTTCAGCATGTTGCTTGGGGCTACTGCTGTCTGTGGCTGGAGTAGTCGATTGTCTGCAGCCATAGGTACAAGGTGAGGAGGCTCCAGGTGCAAGGTCCTCATTAATCTCGTCAGTTCCTCCCTCAGATCCATGTTGAAGTTTAGTGTTCCTTGCAGGAATCCACATGGGCTTGGAGGAGTTTTCTGGAAATACACAAGCATATTCTCGACCAAAGGTTAATAAAGTTGGGACCTTTCCATAAACTAGACTCAAGATCCTTCCATTTGATCAAGACCTTTTTCTTCTGGCTTATTCTGACACCAGTGTAATTCCATAGGTGTCTTGCCATCAGCGTTACAAGTGAAAAATTTTAAAGTAATTAAGGCTTGCTGTAGTCTACCTACAGGAGATTTCTCCAGTATCACTATTCCCCCTTTTTGTTTTTCAAGTTGGGATTTTAGTCGCTGATGTTGGCGTTCTATAATTGCCTGTCCTTGGGAATTGTTCGGTATTCCCGTAATGTGCCTGTTGTAATTGTATGCATTTCCTTTTGTTAAAGGACCAGGCAGGGTGGTATGAGCCCTAATATGAGTAATAAAATGGGATATTGTCTTTGCTGTACCTGTTTAAATAGTATAAATAGACTTTGGTCACTGAGCCATTTTAATTGAGTAGTCTTAATTCTGTTTACCAAGTCAGCAGTATAGGCAGAATCAGAAATAACATAGAGAGGCTCCTGGAAAGTCTGCAATGCAGCCTTGACAGCTTCTAATTCAGTTCTTTGCACAGAAGTGTGACTGGTCTGGATGACTCGGTCTGAATTCATCGTATGATAAGCAGCTTTGCCATTAGATGAACCATCGGTAAAAACAGTTAATGCTCCAGGAATAGGTTCCTGTATTTTTTGGTATAATAGGAGTGTAATATAAAAATGGTAGTAACTTGTTTTTTAGTAGGTAACAACGAAGTTCTCCTGAATATCTTCTTAGTCTAATCTGCCAATTCAAATCAGTCTGAAATAACGTTTCTAATTGCTTCCCAATGAGGGGAAGATAGATGCATTGGGGTTCTTCTCCTCTGAGCTGCCTGCAGTGCTTTCTGAGTTGAGATATTAATTGAGCCATGAGTTCTATATATGTACCTACAGTTTTAGAGGATTGATGCCCTAGGTCAGTGGTCGGCAAACTCATTAGTCAACAGAGCCAAATATCAACAGTACAATGATTGAAATTTCTTTTGAGAGCCAAATTTTTTAAACTTAAACTATAGAGGTAGGTACATTGTTATTAACTTAATTAGGGTACTCCTAAGCTGGCCTTTGCTAAAAACGTCCTCAGTCTGATTGAGGTACGTTTGCTGAGGTCGACCCCTTCCAACTCTCCCATCCACACTTGTCTTGTATACTTAGTTCATCTAGCTCCTTTCCGAAAACCGACTTCTGCGCATGGGCCACGAAGTTTCAATCGCACTGTACGTGCGTGCCCGCACGTGGTATTTTGTGGAAGAGCCACACTCAAGGGGCCAAAGAGCCACATGTGGCTCGCGAGCCGCAGTTTGCCGACCACTGCCCTAGGTGGACCCACTCAATAATAGTAGGGTGAGATTTTAAAGTCAATTATTATTACCCAAGGCATTTTCCTTGGCAAATTCTGTAACAGAGATAACTTACTGACTTTCAATGGCTTAAATGTTAAAGTATTATTTTATTTTATTTTCCTTTATAAAAACAGGAGTGCCCTCAGGACCTTGGAGGTAACCTTGGAATGCGGTCTATTATTATTCAAGAACTACCCATTATTATGGAAACACTAATTTTGTTGCCCAAACACAGCCTGTATATTTTCCTTGTGTCATTTTCGCCATCTTCCAAAGAAATAGAGTCTGGGGTCTATTCTATAGCATCCGTGAAGAGATGGGCTTAGGCCAAGAGGTCACCCAAAATTGGGTGGGGTGCCTTCCCCTTAAGCTAACCTTTTTCTCTTCAATGGTATAGCAGTCCCAGGTGGCATCCCTAAATTGTGAGAAATGTCTCATCTATCCAAATTTCAAATGATGGACTGGGAAATAAAAACATGGTGAAAATGAGATTTTTAAGAACGCCCCCAAGAGCGGGCATCCATTTTGCAGGATCACCAAGAGACTTAGTAATTAATGGGCTGGGCCTTTTTTATTTACCTCTCTTTGTCTAGGGAATTTTCCTAGGATCTGTGTTATCAGCCACTTGTACCACTCATATTCTTTCTTTCCCCACCCCCACATCCTGTTTGCTCTGGGGAAATTTAGTAATGGCCTGGTCACCTACTGTTTCTTTTCTATGAAGATAAATTAAAGGCATGCTTAATAGACTAACAATAAACAAATTACAAAATAACAATAGACCCTACAGAAATACAAAGGATTGTTAAAAAATACTACCCTTTAGGACACTTAGCACAGAAAGCCACTCTATCGACACAG